CCCGCCCCCCCCCCCCCCCCCCCCCCCCCCCCCCCCCCCCCCCCCCCCCCCCCCGCCCCCCCCCCCCGGCTACCCGTAACATTTCAGTATATTCCTAGACATATTTTTCTTTTACTAAAAATACAGTTCACATTTCCGTGACAACAGTGAAAACATTTGTTTGTTAACGGAAAAATAGGAACTGTTAACTTTTCGGTGTGAAACCATTAACAAAAAATGTCCATGCTATTAGAATATAGAATTTCAATGTTATATAACTTACTCAGGTTGAAGTGATGTATTCACAACAATTGACTTTAGCGGACTGTCATTATCTAAAATAAAATAAATAATAAAGATTTAGACTATATATGTCTTCTTTTTTTGATAAAGATACTCTATTTTGAATATTACCAATGTCAAAAATAGTTGTAAATCTATAAAAAATTTTACAAAATTACCTATTTTTTTAAGCCAAATTGATGAATGACGCCGTCGATAACATACGAATAAAAGTAATAAAAGAACTATTATTGCTAGAGTTGGTAATGTAATGGCAAGTATAATGATCAATGGTTTTCCAGAATTTGGATTTTCAATTTTTTCATTTGATTTCGATGTTGTTGTTATTGTTTCTGAAGTACTATTTTCATTACTGTTACGAATAATTTTAGATTGTGTAAAAAGAATAGTCACAGTTGACGATAGTGATATTCGTTTTAAATCAAAATCTTTATCAGTTTTTACCAATGGTAAGTTAGTAAATATTTCCATTATTGTATTGTTCATTTTGTCTTTTACATCGATTAGAAATAAATGAATAAAATCATTATATTATGAGTAAAGTGGAATTGGCTATTGTCGTTTTACCTATAATAAAAGAAATAAATAAATTTTCGATAGAGAGCTATGATCGATGTTATAAATGATAGTTAGATTAGATTATATAGGATCTACACATAGTTCGATCTATTCAGAAATAAAAGTTTAATATGTCTATTTCTATTACATTTTATTTTTAATCTTCAATTGTTTTATTTTGAAGTGAAAGGTATCGATATCTCTTTTTCGAATTTTGGACGTTTGTTCGTATCCTGGATGAAGGTGACTTATTTCTGTTTTTTGATATTAATTTCTCATCAGAGAAACATGTACATCATACTCGATACTCTTTCTTCAGAATAAAAATTTTATTTTTCAATATTTTATTTTTTTATTTCAAAAAAAAGCCAAGTTAGTCATCTATAATATGTTACCCAGAGAAAAAGGATAAAGAGTAAAATGATGTTAATGACGAGTATACACGTGCATATTTCAATTAATCAAAAGTTTTTTGTTTAGAGCGAAAGAATTATATTTATTTTTCAAATATATATTAATTCTTCATCCAAGTTCTGTTCGTTCGTTCTCTCTTTCGGAACGCACACCCTTTCATTTGAAAATATTTGAAAACTAACTTTTAAAAATGTGTCATCCATTTCGAAGAAATGCTTACTTAAATCGATGATAACATTTTAGAGAGAGAGAAGGGTTAACCATGTTAAAGGCGAATATAAATTTCACGATGATTTTTGACCACAGAACGTGATATACATAGGTTTATAGAGGAAGATTTCCTCTATCCAGCGGTATATATATTATCAAATTTTGTTGCATGCCGTGAGTGAAAATTAAAGGTAACCTCTCTTTTTTTAGCCTTATTTTAGAAATATTTTTTATTTTTAAGTTAAATATTAGGCATTATAGGGTAAAGTGTCCTCTACAAATAAGACCACTCCAAGGCCTTTCGTTGAGGAGATACGAATATTTTTAAAGTTTGTTACTTTACTCTGAAAAAACCCTAGTGTTTTACTTTCGAAACTTTTCTCTCTTCCATTTAGTACTTGATAAACTTTTGAAACAGTCAGTCTGGTAGAGTAAAGATTTCTCTACAAAATGAGATGTCTCCCAACTCTCCACCATATTTTCTGATAGAGTTATCATCATTTTGCTGGAAGTCTTTGAAAAAGTCACATTTGTGACTAACGTCCAAAATGATGATAACTCTATCAGAAAATATGGTGGAGAGTTGGGAGACATCTCATTTTGTAGAGAAATCTTTACTCTACCAGATTGACTGTTTCAAAAGTTTCACGTTCCGGAGTCAAATCCTTATAATCGCCTTTTGCCATGGTCAAATATGACATAATATTAATCGGAACATAGGCACAGAAACTCTGACATTTCTCAACGGTACGTCACTACGAGCAGTTCACTGTTTTGATTCACAACAGTGTTAAATGTCCAGTTCGAGTGAAATATAGAAGATGATATATATTTTTGTTACGCTAGTAACCTACTAGCATTTTTCTTTTTTTGTTTTCAATTTACTCTTGAGAATAATGTTAGGACTATACCAGCAACGTTTCTCAGAGAAACATTTGGATAAAATTTTGAATTTTTTGCAAAATTGAAACTTAATTGATCAATAATCGTCCATCATTTTTATTTATCATGATTAAATGTGAATAAATTATGAGTTTCAACTATATTTTTACATATAATTATTTTTATAATGATGACCGATTACTTATTATACATGACAATCAAAAGTATAGTAGAGTGAGAAACGAGACAAATACCCTTTTCTACTTTTGTCTTTTGTGTGATATGTCTGTATATACAGGCGTAGACTTGCAACCCACTTCGACTGATAGTCAAAAACAATCTGTTATCTGTACATTTTAAATATATTTTAGTATTAAAATAGTAAACCGATAAATTTTCTGCACAAAAACAGAAGTATTCTTATCATTGAATCCTCCCAACATCTGCTAGTTGTAAAAAAAGAATAAAAAAAAAAACAATCATCAGGTATTGACATAATATAGTGCACTTAACTTTTGTTGAAGTGACTTAACAAAATTTGAAGTAAAATAATCATTACTATTACGTACAAATTGGATAAATCAATATAGCAAAAATTTTCAAAACGTACGTTTAAAGATTTATCAACTCATTTTAAAATTGCACGTACATGCACTTGATACATTTTGAAATCACTCACCAAACATACTAATGTTTTATGTCCAGACACTCATTGAAAAACAAAAAAAATTGGAAACAAAAAACTATTTATTTTCTCTTTTTTTGTTGTTATTGTTTTTTCTTTTATCAGACAGAGAAAAGAAATTTCAACACTGATATTCACACATTTTCAAGGCAAAAAAAATAATATATAAAAGATGTATTCATAGGAAAAAATAACATATCGAGATTCCGGATGCCATATAAATGTGTTGATGTTTGATGGTGATAAGGGAAGAGAAAACTTTACCATCTGAAGAACGAGAGAACGAAACAGAAACAAAAGACACACGTACCTTAAAGAGACTTTTGAAATAAAATAAAAAAAAAATAAAAAAGAAGAAAGAATATAAATTTAAATAATGTGCTTTTTTTTTTTTTCTTCATCTTTTTTCCTTCGACCAATGTTAGCTATATATTACACACAATTCAAAAGGTACAAATGGAAAACTAAGGCAAGAAAAAGAAACATCTGGTAAGATCGATATAGACATATAAAATTAGACAAAAAAATGACTTTGATCCAAATTGAAGATCAATATACACACTCACAGACTATTTAGATATTGTATTCGATACGCTTCACAAATAATTTTCGTTTTCGATGATTAAATGTATTATAACAAAAGAAATGATCTATTCAATAAATAAGAGTATGAAGTTGAGAGAATGATTTATGTATAAAACTAATCTTTTTTATTTTATCATTTTGCCTTAGAAAACATTGTAGAGTTTATGACATATTATATGACATCCTGTAAATAAAATCGTATCAGATCTACTGATTTTTTCAAGACTTTTGTTAAAAGATTTTCGAAAGTCACCGTTTAATTTCGTATTTGTAACATACTCATAACAATTATTCTATTTTTCGAGATTTTAGACTTCAATACAGAAAATTCGAGCTACTATACACTATATTTTCATGTTTTATTTCACTATTCTTCGACGACCGACTCCGTACGAGGTATCCATACGATGCCTGCCAAATCAATCTCAAATATGCAATTTTAATCTTTCGACAAGTTGATTTTGAAGAAACGTCAGTGGAACGCAACGGTTGGACCAGTTGACATTGTCAACGTTCAGCAGCTATGCCTATACTCCAAATCTATAAACTAGTAACAAAATTTTGTTTTCCAGAACAAAAAATTATTAGAGTGATTTTTCTATCTCTTCCAAACTAAAGTTTGAGAAAAACTCTGCAATAATTATTCCACTATTCATTCGTTCGTTAGAAGAAAAAAAACCTAATCCAAGAGTTGGTTATCAAGATGCACTCTAAAAAAAATGCGTATTTTAAAAAACTCTATTACGCATTTTCTCTCCGGAATGGAAAAAAGTCTGCTGAGCGCTTAATGGTTTATCAGCGATAGGGTTTCATAATATACTCTTCCGAATTATAAGAAAGCGTTTTTATAAACCCAAAAAGGTATCGGAGTTGGATTAATAAACTATCAGGGTACCACACTTTGGATAAAAAATCCATTGGTTTTCTGGTAAACCCTTTTGATTTTTTAATGAACCCAAAAGGGCTTTTCTCGCTTAAAAAATCCTATGGCTTAGATAAAGAGGGGTTTATTAAAATACGGAAAGACGTATTTTAAGAAATGATGAGGGGACAAAAAATTGAATTATTCAAGCTATGAGTTGCAGTGAAGTTCAATCAGCGACTTTTTCAACTGTTCGGAATGAGAATACATGTTATTTTCTCATTGACTGATCGAATGAATAATACCAGCTAGTTTTCCAGTCAGTTGTGTTTGTTAACTTTTATCTTATTAGCAGATCAAGAGTCGTATCATGTTGTTTTTCGACTTAGTTAATTACTTGAACGAGTCGTTATTCGCATACGAAGAGACTCGGCGAATTTCTGATAGAAACACGCCTTTTTTCTTACTGTCGCGGAGATCATGAAATAAAAATGATCTTTCGTTATTTTCTTAGCGTTTCAGAACAATGCAAATAACTTTCCAGTAGTCTCCATGGCACTTCTACAAAATAATCACATATTATACTATAGGCATATGGGGTTGGGGTGTAACTATTCTTTAGAAGTACTCTCAACCTTGCTTAATACTGAATCTGGTAACAGCACCTCACTGTTATTCTTCCATTTCTGTAAAAAACTTCTATTCTAATCTTCATCGTTTGCTCTCATTCTAAAGTGAGCCGATTTGGATTTGACGTCATCGTGAAACTTACGGGAGCGTAATAGTCAAGATTATTTATCTTCTAGGGAGAGAAATGAGCAAGTTACGTCTGCAGAAGAGCTGAATTCACTTTATTTAGGACTTATCTAACTGTGCTAACTCGCGTAAGTTTCTGCGATATTCGACAGTTCGAACAAATTTGCTGAACTTTGTATGCTTTTTGATTTTATTGTAGATTGTATAACGAGAAGGAACATATCCCAATGAACAATCGATGATGTGCTTGCATGGCTGGAAACATTTATTAATGATGAATGTACTATCAAGTAATTCAAAGATAAACCCATAATTATATTTTTCTATCTCCTTCGCTAACGTCAGACAAGTGTATTTTAATGTGATTTTTTGAAAAGTGATTAGGTGAGAAGAGAAAAATCTTCCTTCATGCATTCATGACTGAAATTTGCGAAAAGGGGTACTGACTGAAAAATAGAAAACAGATGACTGTAAATATAAACCGTCACTGAAAAGATTAAACTTTTTTTTCCTGAAGATTAAATAGCACGACACTCAGTGCAGAAATTCAAGAGAGTATAATAGTGCACTATTGAGACATAAAAAACCCTTTCCGAAACGCTTAACGCGTTCGGGAAACTGCAACCACACCGAACGAATAAAAGGTTTCGTAGACGTAACAAACCCCTGCTGGAACGCTTTAAGGGCACTTTCGTAAACCTTTATTCGTTCGGTGTGGTTTCAGTTTTCCGAACGTTTTAAGCATTTTTTAAAATACAGATATTTTTTACAGTGTGGAAATCAAAAGATTTCAAGACTGAATTCACAGATCTTTTTTTCTTAACTCTTCCTCGACTGTTGGAATAACAACTTTTTTACCTTATCATATTGTTTTTATTTGAACATGATACCGCACTCTTCTGTCAACAAAACACAATACATTTGTCATCATCTGTATGTGTCATGCGAGACAAATCTTTAGATTTGTCAACCATTCTGGGAGATTTGCATTAAAAACTCTATCTATTCTTATTAAACACAACAGGAAACAAATTTTGTTGAATTTAACATGCTAGAAGACCCTAGGCTGAATCGATTACTATCACACTTTTTAGTCAGAATGTTAGGAACTAACAGCAATAGACAGATAAAATCTAAACTCAATAGAACTGCTTCCCCAATTGGTAGGCCACTCTGAATAGAAGGCCGGTTTGAAAGAAATTTGTTTTTTGAAAACGTGATTTTCTTGCAAAAATGTTTGATGTGCGCAATCATAATAGAAGCTCATTATCTTTTATTCAGGAAGAGGATGGGTAGAACAAAGAAACCAATATTTAAATTTCGTACGTCTTTATCTACTTCTTTCTTTTCTCGAATATTTTGATCAGAAAAACATTCTCAACGAATCTGTCCGATGTTTTGCAAACATATTCAAAAATACAAAAAAGCTTTTCGAGCATTTCTGACTTCTAATAAGTAAATATATTCAGTGAATAAGTAGGTATTTACAATCAATTAAATGTCAATTGCATATTTCAAAAAATGATACAAATCAAATTTGTTTTTCTCATTCACATTTCACTATATTTAATGCACAAAATTTTCTTTCTGATAAACACAAAAATAAACTAACTAACTCGAATGTTAAAGTCAAAAGAACAACAAAAAAACGTAAATAACAAATATTATCTGACGCGATATAAGAACAGAGAAAAAAAACGATACAGAGAAAATAAAATTGAACAAAAAAACCACAGAATTTCTAAATAATATAATATTTATCGAAGAATTAAAAAGATAAATAACAACAATAGCAAGAACAATATAATAAGGATTCGTTATCAAGACAAAGATTGATCATATTTCATTTTTTCACAACTGCTTGCTCTGGAAGTTTGACTTCTAAAAAAAAATTGAAACAAAAGATAAATGTAAAATGAATAGTGCATTAAACGAGTGCATATTGCACTCATAAAATTCAATCTTCTATTTAAAACTGTTAAAGAATTACATACCAAAATCAACTTCATAATCAAATGATGCCACATAATCAAATTCTTCTCGTTTATACTTTTCTCTAACACTTCCATAATGTGGTGAATGACTAACACTTTTTAATAAATCAATAATTGTCAAAAATTTTGATTCTAATTCATCTTGTTTATAAGGTGTACGTTCAAAAAAATTTCGCACTACACGTTTATTATTGGGTATAAATTTTGTAAACTTTAATGCCATATACAAAGAAATGGCTGCGATAAACGAAGATGGTAACGATGACAGATCATAATTACATAAGATCACCTCTGTTATATATTTTGACATTGAATAGATAACAAACGAAAATGGAAGAAAACGTAGAGAATAACATAAAAAGTGAACAGGAAGTGGATATTCTAAAACGAGAGTAAAAATTATTCAATTCAAATCTGTCAGAAACTGCAGTCAGCTTTGATAAATCATCACTGATATTAAGATCTATCATTCACCACGTTGATGTGCTTATGTTGACCGTTTACTTTTCGTTATTTTCTAAACTAATTTCATCAGCGGCGTAACCAGGATTTTTAGTCCAATGGGCAAACTTCTATTGTATCGGAAAAAACGATGGGCAAAATGGGCAAGGTTTTTGTCGATGGGTCAAAAGATTTTTGGTCCAAAAAGAACACAAAAAAATGAAATGAGATTCTTTTAATTTTTGAATTAGATTCTAATTCAAAAATAAACAAACAATTCTGTCTACAGGCACTCTTACATATATCTTTCTAAGGGTTATAGAAAAAGAAAACCGCATGGGTATATCTGCTAAGTAAAATTTCAATGGGCAAAAACTTACTAATAAAAATTACAATGGGCAAATCTCCAAATGAAATGGGCAATTGCCCATTTGCCCCCCCCCCCTGGATACGCCGCTGAATCTCATCTATTATAATGAAAAAGCGAGTAAAGTTCTTACCTAATTCAAAATCAAGTTTTCTTAATAGTTCTTTTTCTGCCATATGTATGTGATGAGCATTCATGGCATATTTACTATCAAATAATACCACTAATGTTCTTAATGGTGGTACACGACGTGATTCTAATTTACATGCAATAGTAAAACAACAAATAGCAGTCAATTGTAAATCTAATTTAGTCATGGCATCATTTATCAATAAGACACGATCAATCAAATGAATTGTACGATGTAATATACCTAGACAATATAAAATTGTTGTCATTATATTTCAACAAAAGCTTAATTGTCTATCTGACTATTCACTTATGAAAAAGTAACAAAATTGCTATTTCTCTCACTGATTAGTTTGAAAATAAATTGAATACTTGATCCTAATTTCTTACTTGCATTTAATCGATGATAATCATGTACGGAAATAATCCAGTCAACTAATTTACATCGTACCTTTGGTGTTATAAGCATCAATCTTGTTACTGGATAATTAATATCTGCTGATGTTTGTCGATGTTGTTTTTCATTTCTTAATCTATTCATTTCAACTGAAAAACGTTCGTCTAATTCTAATAAATAGGTAATTATTTCTAATTCATACGAGCTTGATGATAATGGATCAAAAAATGGATGAGAAAATCCTTCTTGGCACATACCTCAAAATATATTTAAAAATTAAAAGTAAGTTCTTTCGAACTTATTTACAGCATAAAATAGAAACCGTCTTCATTTCTATGATAATTTTACCGATGTAAAGCTAATCTTGAATACAGTTCCTATTAATAGCAAACCATACTACATACCATCATCGCTTTCTTCCTCTTCACCATCCGCATCTCCGACAGTTTTTTCTTTATCTTTCCGTGGAGGATTATCTTCGATCGCCTTTTGATTAATATCTTCTGAGATAACTTGCGTTAGACTCGTACAAGACATTTCTGGCGTAAAATATGTTGTCATTGATACATTTTCACTTTTCAATTGATCAACTTCTTTGACTGAAGAGGAGGATGAGGAAATACGAACATCTTCCAAACGTTGATGCAAATTGTCAAGATCCTCTTTGATGACCGACATTTTTAATGCTTCAGATGGCAACTCTAATTTTAGTGCATGAGAAGTGGGTGGTGGAATATTTTCATTATTATTTGTAAGTTTTGAATTTGATTGTCTTGAAGAACGATTCTGATTTTCGTTGTTGTTGCTGTTATTTATATTTGCATTAAATGATGATAAACGGGAAATCATTGCACGACGATTTGAACTGATCAAATTGTTAAGATTATTTGATGTTGTTGTTCGAATATTTTGTAATGATTCAAAATAATTACGACGAACAGGTCGACCATCACTTTGGAACCTCGAATCTTTCGTAGAATTTAATGAAGATGATCGGGGCAACATTACAGCTGTTACTTGAAGTTGTTGGGAAATAAAGATTAGAACGGATTTAATACATACATGCCTATTTTGACTAAGTCTCTCTTTTTTTTCTTTGGACTGTGCCGGAAAACATAACGAAGAAAAAAAGCTATCCATGGTTTATCTGAATTTTTTTCATTGGCTATTATTTTTTTCCCCAAAAACAAAAGTAAAAACAAGATTGAAATCAAGTAAAAAGGGTTCGATTCGATTTAAAACTAGTCTCATTGGCATTTTAATCCTTTGAAAAATTCTGATTAGTCGTAACTGGATTTTCTACATCAGATAGCGTCCTCTTTCGTCATGTTATAACACAGTTTCCAAAGTCGTGCCAATATAAATGAGTTTTAAATTCGATTAGTGAACTCTTTGTTCTCACAGTTTCAGTTGATGACGGATATTAAAGCTGTTTGTCTTTTACATATTATGTCATTTTACGAGGTAGATTAGAGTAAGAGAGATGTCTCAACGCTTGAGAACGTGTAAAAGTCGTGCATATTTGCGAGAGGATTCGATAAATCAAAACTTCGCATTCTATTAATCTTTATAAGAATCTTGAATTATGATCTTGTAAGATCATAGCATAGGATGTTACAAGATTTCACAAGAATCGTGATTCAAGAATCTTACGAGATTTCACAAGACTTTTCTTGGAACAAGATTTCGTGAGATCTTGTATGATCGTGCAAGAAGTAACAATATTTTACAACATTATAAGGAAAGAGTACTAAAGAGCCTTTGATGAATCTCCTCAAAACTGTTGTGAGATTTCTACAAGGTCTTGTAAGATCTGACAACAAAACAGTACAGATAATAAGATCTTACAAGGCTTTGTAAAAAGATTTTGCAAGGAGATTGCGTAGGAAATCATCAGATCCCTTTAAGATCTTGTAAGATGTCTTTGATTTGCGCACATATGAAGTAATAAATAAACAATAATAACATAACAAAAAGGGTATTTCTATTCAGTTTCGCTCGCTATTACACTGAAGATTTTAAAAGTCTCGTATTTATAAATGTTTATAAACCTTTTAGCTTTTAATTTGGAATTTAATATAATAAATATTTAATTAATATATAAAATTTTTATAAATAGTAGCAGTAAATCGATTCGAAAGTACAGTTATTCGGAAAAGATTACCCTAGTACTAAACCATCCCTAATGAAAGTACTCATAGTATGAGTGCGACTTTACTCATAATTCGTTCATGAGTACTCATATTAGTATTACTAACAATTTTTGAGTATTGTTACTCAGTGAGTACTCAGTTACTCATGTGAGTACTCAGAAACTATTCATTCACCATTTTATTTTGCTAAACTGAAACTGTATAAAGAACGTAGAATTTAGTGAAGAAACATACAATATTTATATTATTATTTTCTCACTGGTCTCTCTGTATATAGTCAGAGATGGACTCATCTATGACTAGACTTGTAGTTCTACTCTGGCTGCCTGAGATCACTCCTCTATATGAAAATATCAGATGAACAATACTCATGAGTATTTTGTCAAAAGTGATATGAGTACTCAACAATACCCAAGCATGAGTACCCAAAGTCGTACCACAGTACTCGTTACTCACTCATGAGTACTCATGTGAGTACTCAATGAGTAAAAACATGTGTAAGTACTCATGAGTACTGGATATTTTTCAGCAGAGTACGACTTTGAGTACTCACATTTGAGTACATTCACTAGCGTAGGGATTAGTACTAACTTCGAACGTTAGTAATTAACTAACGTTAGTACTAATCTTTAGTACTCATGCGGCAGTTTTTAGTAATTTTTTAGTAGCATTATTAGTATTTTTAGTTTTTGATTAGTACCCATGCATATTTTTGATAAACACTAACAGCAGTATTAATATGCGATTTCTGATTGGCAGGTGCGTTTTTATTAAAAACGCTCAGATATCAACAGCAAGCATACGAATGAGGTCAAACAGCGTTACTTCCAACGTTATATTATGACTTTCGAGTGAGAACGCCACTGTCAGCTCAACAATTTTTAGATTTTTGAGTCTTATACTAAGACAGAACTCTGACCTAGCTAGGCCGGCTATTCAGACCTGCGTCTGGCAGAAAATTTTGGTTAAGCCTAAGGCGAGATTTGATGCTCAGTGGGGTTTATTCCAAAAAAAGTTAAAAGTCTAAAGTGAAGGAAATACAAAACTGATGATCTAAAACTGAAAAAGAATGATATTTCTTCGATATTGCGATTGTAATTATATACTCTGCTGACCGCAAAACAAAACAGTGAATGATTAGTTGTAACTCTTTAGTACTAATTTTAGTACTCCTCGCAAAAACTTTTAGTAATTCTTTTTTACGGTACTAGTATTAGTACTAAGTTAGTACAAAATGAATACGCATACTAACGGTGTTTTGTTAGTGCTAATTTTAGTATTCTTCGGAAAAATCTTTAGTATTTAGTACTAATCGTATGAGTACTTCCACTAGGGTAAATTAGCGAATAGGAGACTGTTTGGATATTAGTTCTTATTTTCGTCCTCCGGCAAATGTGTATTACACTTCTTATAAGTAAAGCATTTTTTTTATTGAATTACTTGTTTGCAATTTCCATATTTGTTAGCAGATCAGCCTACTTCATATATGACTGAAAGGAAAGAGGAAAGCCTTTTACTATAAGCGTTCTGTAGGGATACTAAAAGTATCCTAAGGATCTCAGCTCCCTTGGAAAGCTATTCGATGGACAGTTTTCCCTTAGCTATAAATTATGAGTTATAGCGTTTTTATACTTTTTCTAACCGAATGGTCTGGAATTATTATAAACAACGCAGGGCTATCTTCTCCCTTACAGGAGAGAACATTGATAGAAACGTATAGTTAAATAAAAGCGACATCATGCTTGTTCGAATGCTATAAGAATGAATTCCACAGCTCTTTTCAATTTCTCTTGATTGACTCTAACATGGAAGACACTTTTCAAAAGCAACCAACTTCGCGACTTGCTCCTTCAAAAACTATACCTGAACTATACTAGTGAGCTAACGGCCACCCAAAAAAGTGCTTCCTTTTGTGATTCTTAGACGTTTTTTCGGCAGTTTTTCCTTGTTTTAAATACGTTGCAAAAGAATTGTAATTAATAATTATCCATTCAAAATAAAACTGAGCTTGTAATCGTCTAAATCAATAGTATAGTTTAAGTGCATTTAGACGATTACAAGCTCAGTTTTATTTTGAATGGATAATTATGATTTACTCTCAGTTCGTCCCAAATTGACTTCTTAATTCATCACACAAAGCTTTTTTTCTCAGTTCGCCCCATATTAGTTTACACTTAATTAACTTTAATATAAGTGTCACCTCGTGCGTACGGTGATATATATATGACTGTTGTGGGTGTATCAACAGTCATATTGGACAAATAACGAGAGCTGAAAAGCGAAAACAAGACATAAAGATTGATTATGATTCAAAACTGATTTCTCTGTTTCAGTAGACATGAAAATTAACATTTTGATGAACAAAACAATTTAACTTATTTAGATTTAACTTTGTGATAATAGTGGCTAACACGACACATTTTGCCACGTACGCGCAACTAGTCTTGTCTACAATACCATCGCCGTCGACTAAACTGTTCGATGATACAACACTTTATTCATTTTGAGGCGTGAGCATAGATATCTGGGACGAATTGAGAAAAAAATATATGGGACGAACAGAGAGAGAAGGGTTGATGGAGCAAATTGAGAGGACACCATAATTATTGATTACAATTCTTTTGCAATGTATTTAAAACAAGGAAAAACTGTCGAAAAAACGTCGAAGAATCACGAACGGAAGCACTTTTTTTTGTTGGCCGTTAGATAAATTTAGTTAAGTTAAAAATAAAATGAATAGGTCCATCTGAGATGAACAAAGAAGGTAACAAAATGTTAGTTTCTCATTTTGAATTTAGACAGGTTAGAAAAAAAGGAGTCAATTATTTGTTAGTTTGTTAGTTATGGGACTTTTAACTTCCAGATATATCTCAGTATGTGTATGGAGACAGCGAATAGACTAACTATCGTTTTTTTATTCTACATAAATTTGATTAATTTATGTATTTGATTTGAATGAATTTAACATAACTACACAAACAGTAACCGACTAAAAATAAGATTCTAATTAATTTCTTCTTATTTCTGTAGCTTTGAGGTGATAATGAACATTTAGGGCTTTTGTTGTAAATTCTATAACTTTGCAAAGAAAGGTCATGTAGTGCTGGGAAATGTATCATTTTAATCAGAAATTTGGAGACTACAATCATGCCTTATTAAGAAAGATTTTGATTATTTTTTAGAGCTCTTGAAAAACTGGTTTTCCATAAAACCGAGTCTTCAAGAGTCACAGGTTACGAATCCTGTTACGGTATTTCCTATCTCACTGAGGTCTATCGATCCATGTACAAATCATTGGAATCGGAAGGGAACATCTCGAAAGGTTCCCTTGTAAGTAGACTTTCTTCTACAGTAAGAGAGATGTTTCTAAAAATCAGCAACTCGGAAGAAATCATCTGCGAATAATAAAACTGACAGAATATAGATAATCTATCATGAAGAAATGATAAGAATTAGTTTTACATCCCAATAATTCATGGTTTCCATAAAAAGTTTTAGACTTATGTTAGATTAGGAGCTTTTTACATCAAACCGGCGTTCGTGCCGATATAAGTTACTTAAGCCAGGGGACCGATCGAAATAATTCTGGTTTATTCTGTTGACCCAAAACTGCCATTATCGTCGTTCAGGAGTATGATATTCACGATAATGGCAGAAGAAACAATGCCGACACGGCACTTTTTCTGTCTGTTTCTTTTGCTAGCGATGTCTTGACTAGATGCCAGGATGACTGGATGTCTAGACAAAACAACGAACAACAGAGAGTCTCGACGCATTTCGATGTCGTAAATGTGATTACGTGCTTTATCTGTGGTTTATGGGTGATTAAGGACCTTGATCGTTGCTATAGTGCATTTTTGATGTATTAGTGACGTCTATTAAATGCGAATAAGCTATTTTTTCAAAAAAAGCAGCGACTTAGAGGTGTTTTTTTTTTAAAGACATTAAGGCGACTAACAGTAAAAAGATGAGAACGTGCACCTGACGTGCTTTCAAAATGTACTGTGAACGCATTTTGAAGCCAGTCGAATGGTTTATCAAGACACTTTTTTTAACAGTGAATAATTTTTGACAACTCAACTTCACATACCCTAATGTGTTTCACAAGAGAAAGAACAATAATTGACTAAAAATATTTCTATCAATCTATTCAAATTCTGTTTAAGATAAACAGGATTTTAAAATTACCAAGAATAAGTTATCATGATTCTAAGTGTAATATAGGTGTCTACCAGCGTTCACTATTTAAACTTTTAGAATCGCACAATCCATCGTCCTCATTTTAGATGATGATCACTTCTATAATTGTAGATGAATAATGAATTTAGAAACTTAATATTAAATTATTAATTTACTTCTTTCAGCTCCAACTACACATAAACTGTCCGATTCAATGGCAACACTCTCGACTGATACTAATCAGTACGTGTCTGCACAATTTCAAAATGATTTCCACTTTGTTTACACTATTCGATTGAAGTAACATATAATAGACAAATGTCATGTACGCGTGTATCAAGCAGAAAATGCCACCAGGATCGATAAAGAATTTGTAAAAAATAATCAAACATGTTATTTTATATGTTATTATGCATATAATGTATGCAATGAATGGTAAGAAGTATAGTTTAACGGAGACAATTTTGTTGTTGGATTCATCATCAGCATAAAATTTTAAAGACGCGTGATTTTGATTGCTTAGCAGTAGTAAAGATTCGCTGTTCTGTCTATTAGTTTTCATGTTTATTATTAGTGCATGCATTTGTACAGTACTGAATGTTAGCAATGCGCAGTGAATCAAGTTAATGGATCCGAATTAAACAAACCTTTTAAATAGAAACATAGAAATACTTCGTACAGCAATATTTGGGAAAAAGTGACAGTGTCTAGTGTATACGGAGGGCAAGACCGTTAGGTCAAAGTAATATACCATCAGAAATGTTTCCATAGTCTCTAGCTGACTATACAGTCATTCCCAACGGGACTTTCGGGAGGATCGACATATATTTACAATTCTCTCAAAAAATTAAATCGACCTATCGAAGTGCCATTCATCCTACGATGTCTTCGATTAAATTTTTCTTGTCTGTATAGACAATTAGAAATTTATGCTTAACAATTATCTCTCTTGAAACTTTTTGAAATCCTGCTCGAATCATAAACTAATGTACACAGAATGACTATGTAAGGTTGTTCATTTCTCTCATTTCATTTCGCAAGTTTTGATGATGGACAAAACTATCACTTTATATATTTATTGAAAAAAAATAGTAAAAATGACATATTTATGTACAGTTGGTCAATCTAAGTCAAATAATATTGATTTCTAGTCGATTTGATGGTTGAATATAGAGTTCAGAAACAGGAGAGTTTTTAGAAAAATAACAACAACATTCTCGATGGTAATACAATTTAATAAAAACATAATTTTGTTGTTGATGACAATTGTGTGTGACGATAGAATTTTTCTTACGTTTTGAAGTTGAAATTAATCGATTGTCAACTTGTTTAATACTATGTGACAGACGATGTTTGGATTTTTGAGTATTAATCTTGTGACTTGATGAACGTTTTTTCTCGATTGGAGTTGAACATCTTGGAAAAGTTTTGTTTTCAGGTGTACTAGATCGTTGAACATTCATAGAAAATAAAAAGCGTTTGTATCCACGTGAATGATGACACATTTTTAAAAATCTAAAATAGAAAAGAAAAAATTTCCTAAAATATAGCAACAGTTCATCTCTACTTAAGAACGAGAGATATAAATATATCTCTGATAGTAACGATTGTTGACGAGAAATGCTCTCTAATTGAATATATACACCTTTTTTTCTATTCGATCATCTTTTATTTATTCTATTTTTTCTTCTTCTCTTTTCTCTCTATTTTTACCAACAAAAAATTTAATTATAAAATTCATTTCTTCTCTTTTTCTCAAAATTAATTATGTAAGTTAGAGTCAATATGATAAAAGCGGAAATGTCAAATAGGATTGAAGAAGGAAAAAGAAACCTATTAATTAATGTTAGTGAGATTGTTTGGGGAATAAAGTGAAACATGAATATACTCAACTATATGTCTCTAAATAGAAACGTGTTGCCTCAATTATAAGACTATGTCAAGGACGTTTCCTTTACACCTTTTCAACAGGAAATGAATTGAAACTCAACTGAATATTCCTTCATGGATTTCAAGAGTTTATGTGAAAAGAATAAACTATATCTGAATTCACATTTTTGATGATGATAATCATAATTCTCATTCATTTCATATTAAAACTTCACTATTCTAACTATTTATTTGAGTCACCTTTTTTTTTTTATAACAATTCATAGAATGAAACTGTATATTAGGAATCATTTGCAAGTCAAAATTCTCATTACTTAGAAAGAGAAAATATTATTAGAAAAATAGTTGAATATTCAATTCGACACAAACATCCAAATAAAATTCTACGAACTCTTCAATTCTTCTTGATACTCATCAATTTCGAAGTTAGTTCATTATGCTCATAATTTGTATCCTGCCAGTTTTAAAAACAGTCGATAAAAATTAATAATGAATTGTCATCTTTGTAGACGAATGTTGATTATGTAATCAACTATAACATTAAAAGAAAAATAGAATACAGCTGCAATAACAGTAAAAATTTAATTGGTTAAAAAAAAAATAATATTCAAATTTTACAATGTAAACGATTGGCCTGTTATGTGATACTGTTAAACTATTTTCTAGATTCTATACTTATCAGGCTTGTCACAGCTTTTTAACAAGCTGACAAATTGACATTATGTTTGATGTGAACAAGAGATCATCTTTGTGACAATAGGAATGCAAATATATCAATAATTGTGAAAAACATACTATATGTGATGTTATGTAGAAGAGCATACAAATTATGTAATAATGAATTTTTCAAACAACTCCTATTTGAAACAAAATCATTGATTTAGGACGATTCTACATAAGTACATCTCTAACAAATCGTGATATTTTTTTCATTTATGAACATATAAATTTCGAATTACTAATTGGCTTTTTTATTTTATACTTGAGAAAAGTAAAATATTTTTTATCAATACGAAAAAAACAACAACATTATTTTTAACGAAAATAGTAAATCATCACAAAGAATAACATTGCAAAGTAGAAATAAAGAAAAGCTTTGACTGAATAACGAAATTTGAATAACAAATAAAATAATAGAAATAATTTTTGCATATAAGAGAATAAATGTGGCACCGGTCGTAATAATAAATTTTACGTACAGTATACATAACTGCATTTTAGTATATCTGACTATAACGATTGTGCTTTGATTATCAAGGGAAAAAATATCTATACAAATGCAGTTCGAGAAGAATTAATATTATCATTAAATAGCCAATATAGACTAATAAGACTGTCGCGTGAACGTGAATTATTCGCTACTGTTGGTAGCGTGATTGCTGATAGCCTTGGTGTATGTATTGTACGAGAAGGAGGACGATTATGTTCTGTTGTTCGAGCTACAGTGGATGTAATAGTATTTGGTAGATCTGTATTTGCTCGAGTGAATTCCCTAGAGTTACATGGAGTTGATTGAAATGAAGAAGAGGGTGGCGGTCGTTGTTGGTGATTATGCGGTTGAATATGCGTTAGACAACGATAGAATCGACGTTTTCTTGGAGTGATTCGTATAGGTGCTCGAACGATAGTTGATAAATATCGAGGAGAACGATTTTCTAATATATTGTTGGCCAATTGACATAATTTATCAACTTTTACATCAAGGTCTTCCACCTAAAAATAATGATTAAATACTAGTTTTATCAACATCTGCAAAAACGAGTATTTAATCTGTTTACCAGTCGTTCAATTTTAACAATTCGAGATGCTAAACTGAGACCAGATTCGTAACTGTCAGCTGATTTTGCCGTTCCGAGTACTTTATCTAATCTTAAATATTATAATAATATGTTGTACGTGAAAAATGATTAGATATCAAATGAAATGGACATACCTTAACTGTAAATATTTCATTCGCGCTAACATATCAACATTTCCTGTTGAATACTGTTCAATAACATCAGTGACATCGTAAGGTCGAAGTGCCTCACGAAATTTCCTTCTACAAACAAAATATTTTACTTTTCTTATAAAACGTATTGCATTTTTATGAGATAAAGTTAATAATGAGATGTCTTGACACGCAAATGTATGATCATCTTCGGCATCGGATGATGAAACATCGTGTAGTAATGCGCTTGGTTGTGCTAGACTAAAATAAAGAAAGAAGTTTTATTTAACTATGAAACGCCATGGTATAGTTTTACCTGGTTGCTCCTGGCCGTGTACCCACACCAGATCGCATCGTGACGACAGTATTTTGTTTTAAACGCTCATTTGTATTATTACTCATTATAGGCTGAGTGGTATTTGGAGTTTTTCGACGAAAACTAACTCGATTTAAAAATGATTGATTTTGTCTGATTCTAGGAATAGACAAACAGAACTAATAGATCACCTATCCTAATATTAGTCACAGATCTTTGGTGGTATTTAATGTCATTGTTTCTGTAAAGAACTTTTAACACTTTATACTCACTACAAATAGAATATTTTATAATTAATACAATTTAAACGGGAGAAATATTATTACGAAAATAATTAAAATTTTTTTAGAAAATTGTAAAATCTATTGATGGTAGTTTTTAATTTGGTCAAAGAAAAAGTTTTATGATCGCAGTAAAACATTTCACTGATTTACAGTTGTACTAGCAGAGAGAAATAAAATTTAGAACGGTTTTTTAGATAGCTGAAGCCCAAACAACATAGTGATAAACACGCGTACTAACTCCATGTTTGATGCATAAGTATTTTAACGATAAATAAATCGAAGTAATGAGACCCTTTCTTATTTAGAATATCGCAGATACCAAGTACTGACATAGCTTTATCGAAATAAAACTCAAAGTTGGGCTTAGCTCCTATCTCAATAGAGAATAGTGGCTGACTTGAACGGTAAACAATACAGACAAAGAACGAAACTGATTAAATAATGACTCTAAAATGCAGATAAATGAAAGCTATAAAATGATTTGATAAAAAGCATGCAAGTTAGGTACATGTAAGCCACATAAAATAAGGCAAACAATAGACGAAAACAAAAATATAAAGGTAATAACATTAGCAAATGATATTTGGTTGTAGACAAAGTTTTGGTAAATAATTCTCAAATATAGGAGTTATTTGAGCTGTACCGTATCGAAGTTGTTTTTCTATTCATACATTATCTACAAGCATGAATTAACTGCAACAACAGCTAACAATTCGAGCCCGTTTACTTTCCCAAGATTTTCACATTATAACTCCAGTTTCAAGAACAAGACCGAAGAGAAACGCTCATGCGGTATTGTTAGAACAAGACGAAACGTTAGAAGGGTGAACGTCTAAAATGGCGAACATTGAAATACAAGCTTGAAAAATAAAAAAAATGGTTAGACCCTTATTTTTTACGGATTCTCTAATTAGCGAAAAAATCATTTGTTATCGATTCTGTTTGCCAGATTAAGTTAATATTAACCATACTTGAAACATCTATGTTATGGATTCACTGTACAACTTTGGGGAGGCATTTAGAAATGTAATAGTCAGTGGCAACCAGCGATAATTCTTGCCGATTCCTTTTCTCTCGATTCATAAATGAACATAGGTGTCTTAATCTTGTCTCGCAAAAGTTAACTTAACTTGACAAACAGAATCGAAAATAAATGATTTTTTCACTAATTAGAGAGTCCGTAAAAATAATGTCTGATTTGGTTTACCGACCTGAAAGTTTTTCAATTTTGTATTTCAATGTTCACCATATTAGACTTACACTCTTCTAATGTTTCGTGCTTTCTTTTATAATTCATTCTTGCGTTAAAACTGTCTCACATGTTGTATGTAAAATAGTTTGCAGTTAGAAGTTACTGTACATAAATGTATGCCAACTCATTATCTAGGAAAGCTTTAGAAAATTCCCATTTGTCGATGCTTATTGTTGTTTGTTTTTAAAAAAATGAGAATGAAGAAAAAATGAAAATAATAAAAATCTTAGAATTCACCAATACTTTGACATTTACCACGAGACATTAAAACAATTTTTTTGATATGCATCTTGTTTTCACATACGGAGCAGTTGATTGTTCTTTTCGTGGTTTTACATGAACTTTCCACGTTGCTTGACTCAACGATTTTTCGTCAGCAGCATAAACACGCCATAGATTTTGTATCAACAATACAGCTGGAATTTTTCGTCGTTTATAATGTTTTTGACGCTGCTGTTGTTGAACTTTCAACGCAAAACCGGATCCCAAAATTCCCTTTGAAAAGAGAAAGATATAAGAGTTTGTACAAAAACAAATGACTTGTACTTACGGCTGGCAAAGCAAAAAATGAGATACCAATCAGTGAGCATACAGCCGCAATTAATTTGCCAAAATTTGACGATGGAACACGATCACCGTATCCAACCTATAGATCAAATATCAACTATGAAAGAAGTGACATTACTAACTCGATACTTTTCTTACAGTACATAAGGTGATCTAAACAAAGAAGTTAGAGCAATATTATGTAATCAGAAAAAAAGTAAAATAACTTACAATTCCCCACCATAATGCATCGGCGTACGTGTCAAATTTATGACGATCACTATCTACCAAAGTTGTTAAATTTTGCATTAATACCGGTTTAGCATCTTTCTCAACAAGAAACATGATAAATGACGAGAATATCAGTACTAAAAATCCTATGTAAATTGTTGTTATTAGTTCTTGCCGATGCGCATAAACCACAGATCCAAGCAATTTCCAAGTACCACCTCGACGACTAACAGAAATAACAATTTATTAATTTCTACTTTGAGTACAGTAGGAAAAAAAAAGAAGTATTTCCTACTTACTCCATTCTTAGCATGCGCAAAATCTGAAAAAATCTTAAACCTCTCAATGCGCTCGCCGCAAATACACCACTTCCACCTCGACTGTTTAAACACAATGTAACAGCAGTGGCGACAACCACTGTTAAATCTAAACGAAGAAAAAGAGATATAACAATCATTTCAAAAATACAACATAAGTTACCAAGTGCACAAAGCGGTTTTTTCATAAAACGTAATCTGCCCATGAACGTTTGATAACGAGAACGGCAGCCAGAACTCCATATTCGTAGACTCAGTTCAGCCGTAAGCCAAATAACGACACATATTTCCTACAAAAGTTAATTTATATTCTGACTGACGTGCAAACATGAAAAGAAGCCTAAATGGAAAAAAATTCTTACTGTATGTAGCAGAATAGTTGAAGCTGTATCCTCATACTGTGGCATCGTTACAATAACACTCAAAAACAAACACAAAAACACGGTGACAAAGCTAAAATAAAAAACATTCAATGAATTTCAACAAAAAACTCTAGTTCAGAAAAAACAACTTTTTAAAATTTTATTATATTGCGTTTTCCAGTACCAACGTGTTATGTTTGACGAGGAAAAATAAAACTCACAAAAAAGCATCAGTATTTCTTCCATTCCTCAGAAATTCGATATTCAGGATGTTTCCCTGTTAAAAAGCTACTTCAGTTACTAACTATAAGTCTGATCTCGACCAAACTTTCAGAGGTTATTCTCCTTTCTCAAAATGTCGTCACATCAATGGCCAGAGTTCTTTAAAATCTCTACCCTAGATGGATGACGACAATCTCGGGTTAGTCTTAAATGAATCAAGCACTTACAATGACAAAGTACAAGGGTCTGGGTTTTTTGTTGTTATTCTGTTAATTTTGTACAGGTATCAGAAACCAAAAATCAAAAAAACCTGACTCAAGCGTTTGCACATTCTTCGCTTTATCAAAAATTACACCGAAATTTTGACCTCTTAAATGTTATATTCGTAATTATTAGATTTGATCTGAAATCAACGCGAACTTTTCAGCAGATAACCAGATTCGAGACGAAGATTTATGAGAAATACGCATACTTATGAAGGAAAAGGAAGATTCTTAAAAAACACACAATATACTTTTTTTGAAAAGCTATACTGTGAAACATTCAGTCTAAAGATAATTTATATATGTATATATATATATATCTATATATCTTTCTACAATTCTTTTGATCGTATTGAATTCGGTCCATACGTATGCACACATATACCGTATAAGTATCTGGCTGTGTGAACTCGCATTTGCTTACGACATCACGTTTTTTTCTCTCATAAGGTCTAAGGAAAACTTGCAGAAAAACCATGAAAATGTGTTTTTTCGAGACACAAAAATTACTATAATTGAAAGCAAAGATTTTTTGAACTATCATATCACAGACTTTTCTTTTAATAAATCGCCATCTTTGATGAAAATCACAATTTCTAAAAGTGGAATTCTTGAAACCGTTCAAAAGATTTACAGAATCAACGGTTATAGATTTCATTTTAAAAAGTTCTTCTCTATAGTTAATGTCAGTTAGTTATTTCATTTCACAATAAATGAGTTGGCGCTTCTAGATTTAAATTTATAAATAATACTTATCGTTGAAGCTAGAAAAGGTGATGTCGGAATTTATTTTTATTGGGTTGTAGGAGTTTTCGCTTATTATGAAATGTAGCCTGTACACATGCCATATTGATAGTTTTTTATTCGTTCTAAGTTTGATCGGTCTCTAATTAATCTCGTAGCGACAATCATGAGTATCGAATCTTTTACTAAGCAGATATCAAGCTTTGTAAAATAAATACTTTTGTGGTTAACTAGTCCTTTGATTTTGTTAACAATACGTGTTTGCTACGCAGACAAATTGGGCTCTTATAGCAACATTCGGGTAAGTCCAAAATTATGGAATGAAAGCCGTGAGAATTTCCTTGTATACCATTAGAAAGAGATGAGTTCATATAGTAAAATATTAGCAGATCACAGGTATTCGGTGATCTTAAGCATCTGGTAAAAAATAAAATCTGAAGAGAAACATATGAAAAACGCGGATATCAATGTTATAACGTAAACGCATATATTCTGGCGAATGTTTTCCTATTGTCAAATAGAGTAGACAGTTCCATTTATAGTCAGTAATATCTAAAAATGCGTAAATTTCATTTAAAATATGTGCAGCATCCATAAGAATATTATCAAATTGACTGAAACTTTTGCATAATGTTAACCACTTCTAAATATTAGTAATCTGAAAATTTTCTTTTAGTTAATGAGATATGTGTGTATCAGAGCCCGAAACGAAGCGAAGATTCGTCGAGACGAGGCAAGATTTTGAAATTGTCAGGCGAGGCGAGGTGAAGCAGTTTAAAAAAAATTGGAAACGAATCGAAGCGAAGCGAGGTTGAATGCGTTCGAGGCGACAAAATCTTGCCTCGTTTCGGGCTCTGATGTGTATTGAGATGATATATCAAAGCAGAGAATATTGTAAACGTGTTTGTGAGTAAGAACAATGTGAGAAATCAAAAAAAACTAATTCTCCACTATGAAAAAACTTATATTAAATGTAAAAAACTTTTGGACACGTTACTATGGACACATCACTTTTGATGAGACGTGTCAAAAAATGCATTATTTTTAAGCTGTCGACCTTCCGATATTGCTATGTTGACGAACAATATGGGATTACAAATATCTTTTTTAAACGGAGTCATTTTAACTTTCAACAAGACGAATATAATTTAAATAAACAGCAACTAAAAATTCTCAAATAGGAATTAGAACATGTTATTGAATCAGTTCAATTCGATCAAATGATCGGAGTAAAAAAACAGCATAATGACTTTTGTACATCGTGCAGGTGTATAGCATCCGGACAAGAATGTCATTTAGAAAAAACAAAGGGAAAAATTATAATTTGGTTTTTTTCTAATTTTGAGAAAACGTTTTTAATTCTAATTATTGTCATTTCCTCATTTAACGTCCCTCCCATCAAATTTTTTTCTCTTCTACGCCTTGTACTCAACTCGAATAAAATTTCAGAAACTAAAGCGTATTCGCTAGACAAAATCCAACGCACTTCCTGTCTATTTCCTACTAAGATTTTTTAAGATTTAGGATTCACCTAATAACTTCCTAGTAGGAGCCTAAACAGCTAGGATCCTACTAGGATTTCGCTTAAGTTTGCTTAGGATCCTAAGAAATTAAAGCAAAATTCTTGTAGGATATGTTTTGGATTTTGTCGGGAAAGTCATAGAGATTTTACCAGATTTGTCTGAATTATGATAAAAAAGTTTAAGTTCAAAATACATCTTAAATCATTTGAGAGTTTTAGTTGATGCGATGTGCGAAATGGGACCTTCAGCAGAATGCATTTTTCTCACGTTTATCAATAGCTACAAAAATTGTGTCAAAGTGATCGTGTAGACACCCAGAATTAAAAAATGATTTTAATGAATTTTTAAATTACTTGTCCGTTGATTTTTGTCACTGATTATAAGTTGAAAATGGAAAATGATCGGTTCTTATGTTTATTAATCTGCAAAAATATGCTCCAGCGCAGGAACGAATTTTAAAAAAAAAACTTCATAGTCAATCTCGATATTTTGATTTCAATTATCAATTTTGAGAATAAAATTTCTCCATTTTTAAAGACAAAATGTGCTACAAAGTTTTGACTATTTTCACAAAAATTAAAAATATTTGTGTTGTCCATTTCAAATTCAGTTTAAGCTTATAGAAGAATGCTTATGAATTTCTATTACGAAGCTACATACAGATATGTCAGATCTTGTTCTAAAAAGAAGACTTTCTTATTCAAATCTAGATATTCTCAAAACAAGATTTCAACATTTACATATTAGAATTCTGATCAAAACTATTCGAAAACTAAGTTATTTTTTTGTATATAACATATCGGATACCTATGGCACCCGAGCAAATGGATTAAAATGTCGTCGACTATAGTTTTAAATCTACCCTCAATAGTTGATCTGCAATGATCATTTTATTTTCTCTCAAGTGACTCTAGTTCATTCGACAATATTGAAATATATTTATGACTTATGAACATTATACGACGCGTACTGAGATATGTTGGATGATGCATCAGTCACCGTCGTCTTTCATTGTCGTTCCACTACGAATTTAACTTTGAATATATCTGTGAAGGTATTTTTCAATAAATGAAAATGATACTTACACTAGAGTATGATAAATTCCTGCTTTGTATCCTCTTGGTCGTTCAAGAAAATTATGTATTCTCGATTGTGTTCGTCTATAGTTAGGTGAACGACGTTGAATTGGATGTATCAAAATTGGTTTTCCTAATAGTGAAACACGTTTTTCTAACAATAAACGACTATCTTGTGCTGATAATCCGACCAACGGACGATATTTTAATGGAGATACATAAACAGGTTTGAAATCATTTGCTGTTGACGATGCTGTGGTTGATGGAATAAAATCTCTCATATTTAAATAATCAGGCTTTGATAAATGATCAGCAGAATATTTGACTGATGTTGACAATGAGCTACAACTATCATTTAACAATAAATAAGATGGATTTGTAATTAAAGTGGAGGTTGTTGAAATAGTTTTTGGTTGATCAACAAATGTAACACTTTGTTTCGATGATGATGGTTGAGCGTTTGGGTGTTTGTTATTGTCTATGGATGATTGATAATTGAACGAAGACTTTTTCAACAGCCAAGCATTATCTTCATTTATTATTATTTTTTCTTTTTTAGCTTTTTCTATTAGTACTGATGGTTGATTCTGACGATGACGGCTGTAATAATAATAATGTTCTTCCCTTGTTTTTTCTCCTTTTTTTTTACTAGTACCACACGTTTTACTAGTACGACAATTATTTGTTTGAACAAAAAATCGATCATCGCCAATATGTTGTTGCATATTATCCTTTTCATTGTTTTTTCTTTTACCGTTTTCACCGTTCACACAATCATCTTCGCTTTCCTCTTCAACATAATAATCAGAATCATTACTGTTACTATCATCATTATTATTAGAACCTAGATGATGTTGGAAATTTTTTTCTTGTCGTTCAGAAGAAATCGTTTTTCGTAGTATTGATCGTGGAATTATTTTAGATGGATATTTTTTATTATTATTTGTTGAATCAATCAATAATGAACGTTTTATATTAGTCGTTTTTTCCAATAATCGTCCATTATCATCTTCAATACTAGTCGTACTTTCTTCACCATCACCACTTAAATTAACTAATACATCATTTAAAGTAAAGGATAAGTTTTTTACAACACTAGTACTTTGATTTTCTTCTTGTTCCTCTTTTTTGACAAGAGTTTTTGAATAAGAAGACAAAGAAGATGACATTTGTTGTTGCTGTTCTATTACTGAACATTTTGTGGCGATAGACGTATTTTCTACTGATGATGATGATAAACCTTTTTGATCTAATATAAAACTGACTTTTTGTTGTTCTTTTTTATTTATTTTCGTTTTATCTATCATTGGTGAAACATATGGTGATTGAGAGGATACTGTTGATGAGGATGATGATGTCAACAAAACGTGTAACAAAGATGAATCGATATTTTCAGGTAAAGTGAAATCAATATTTTCCACCGGGAATTGACCCAATTCATGACCCGATTGATGACCCAATTGATCATTATTGTTGTTCAATACATACGATGTGTTTAATTCATTAGATTTAGCCATTTCATGTCAGTCTAACTTTTCTTCATTTTCATTTATTCTAGAACATATAGGAAAAAGAGAAAGAATTAAGCGCTTATTACCAACACATATAGAAAAAAACAAATTTATTTAGGAGATAAACGGAAGTCTGATGAGAGAAAATTAAGACAACTATTTCCGGAAGTATCATATTATTTATCATCGTTAATGAATGATTTTTTAAAAATTTTGAAGTCTAATGACATCTATCCATCAAAACTAAATGATGTAAGATTATTGCATTTTTGTTATTGATTTTAAAATGAAAATAGATGGTTTTTCTTTTTCTTTTTCAGTCTCATGGGTTATTTTCTAAATGTATTCATAAAATGAGTACATTTATTTTGAATGAGCAAAAAGTAAAAGTTTCAAATAGTTCAATTTTTGAGTTTCAATTTGTCAATATTTAAATCTCAGATAATATTGACCTATTTCTCATATTCTAATTGTTATTCTTTCATCTGAAAAAGTTTCTGTAGTCGAACTAATATATAAAGAAAGTCAATTTCACACCTTTGTAATTTTACATTTCAATATTCAAAAAACATGCATAAAAATGTTTACCTGTAATACAAGTCAGGCACATTTGTAAATTACGATTATGTTTTTTAAGCATAGCATTGCACGCTAGAAAGAGGAGATACAAATGAACTATCTAAAAAGAAGATTTAAAAAAACCAAAAAAAAATAATTCTCCATTTTATATAGTAAATGTTAAGCAGGGTTGTATGCATAATTTAAAAAATCTATCAATTCAAAATAGGTTTTTCATTTTAGAAAATAATTCACATTCTATAGTCATACTTGTTAATCTTAGTGGTTTAATTAGACATTGAATTTTTCAACATTTGAACTCTTCATGTTTTTTATTCCCTCTAATCTCAGCGTCTCATAAACCATCGAGTACAAGATACGTCTGGGTCATTTAATGCTATTTAAATGTGAATGAGTGTGCTAAAAAACAAGAGATACGTTGTTCTCTGCTATTCAAAAAAATCTAATACAAATTGTTATGAACCTTTCGTGTGAATTAATTATCTTAAACAAATACTACAAACCATTGTTCCATTGTTTTGACAAAAAAAAAAACATATAGCATAGAGAGTCTTTTGTTTTTTGTTGATGTTGATCAAGTGTAGATAGATAATATATATATTTCTTTTTTTTTCTCTATTCTCAAGCTGCTATTTAAAACATTTCTTTTCACATAATTGTATAGTCTCTATAAAGTCAAAATCTATATCCGTATTGTGAAGAATGTGTGAACGATACACTAGTCAAACTATGGTCATGATGGTGATGAGGATGATGATGATGATGATAATGATGATGATGATGATGGTGATGATGATGATGACGATGATGATGACGATGATGATGATGATGATGGTAATGATGATGATGATGATGATAATAGGAAACTTGTCTTTTCAAAAAATGTATTTCTATTTTTCCTTCTTTCCCATTTCCTTTTCTACTATATTCTTCTTTCATCTTTTATCATTTAATAGATTTCTTTTGAAAAATATTTCCTTTTTTTTCTCTATTGTTATTAGTCGGTCAGCAAAAGAAAGGCGTTTGAAGTCAATAACCCATTATATATATAAATGTGTAATAAAAGTTGAAGTAAATTAGTTTTAGATGATCAACTTCTAACCAAGTTTAAATTTAATTGATAAAAAAAAAAAAAAAAACTAAAAAAAAATTTCGAGTGTACTAAAACTGATTACACTGTTGTCGTTATTAATGAACGTGTATAAGTGTATGTGTATGGATATGTAAGTCTTAAATATATAGTATTAATTTAATAAGAATAAATATGCAAAAAAATGATATCAACATTTTTCATGCTGTTCTTAATAGAACTGATTATGATAGAAAAGAGTAATACTTAGGATCTCGAATTTTAATCTGTATAATAATGTATTAATACTCGTAACTATTAATAGTTAGTTCGTCTAATATATTTTACATGCTTTTTGTCTTCATCTCTATTTTTCTTTTCCTCTACTCTAACCTAATATAGTGCAATACCATGTTAGGGAAAAAGGAGAAAGATAATGCATTTTTATCACAATATTTTTTGATAGTTAATTTGTATTTTAGCACTTGTGTTAAAACAAGACAGAAAAAAAACTTATTTAGAAACGCGATATAATAAGAAAAAAAATATTTTTTTTTCTGTTTTTTTTTAAACTAGTAAAAAAAAAAAAATCAATATTTCGAAATTCTTTGTGTAGAGTGGGCCGACTAAACCTTCAAGCATCAATAGACCGATTGTTAATAATAATAAACACGTATAAATAGAGTGAGTGAAGTGTGACAGGGTTCGTATAAATCATTTCGCTTCAAAATTTTTTTGGAAAATATAAATTGTAGATTTTCTTGTTGTTTCTACAAAACAAAAAGAAGTTTACTACAGATATATATATATTCCTATTTAAAAGTTTTAATGAGGCGCATACATTTTGAGTCATTATCTGATTGTGTACAATTGATAAAAACCTTTTCGAGTATAAAAGAGATTTTAACTTAATTTTATTTCATGAGAGTTAAGGTACATTTAGTACATTTATTCTCAATATTTTGATGATTCTAAAATACTGTATCTCAACTATTTAATTTATACACATATAACAGACATAAAAATATCTAGAGAATACATTGTGGATCATTGAAAAGTCAGTTACTGTAAATATTTTGAGTTGACTAATCACATTTATTATCAGAATAGTCTCTCTGGCGCTCTCTTCTGATGTATCTACTTACTTGTTATTATTATTATTATTAAATTTATTTACTCTCTTTCTCTCTCTCTCTTTTTTCTCTTCCTTTTCCACTATGGCTATCCTTCTCTAGTATTATTCTAGATGTTGTCTATGTTAAATATTTTATTCAATACGAACTTGTTACATTTCTTTGTTGTTACATACATCGACATATAAACAAAAAAAAAAAGAGACATACATATTTTTGTTTTAAAAGCAAAAAAGAAAAAATCGAAGTATGTGAATGATTATCTGTTGATTAATTCTAAGTATTTATCACGAACATGTTTCACACTTTTGACGTCGGAGACAAAAGCCTTGACAATAAAAATGTCAAAAATCCAAACGAGCGAATAAAATATATTCATTTATCATCACATCTCTAGTCACAAAATGAATAAAATGATACACTCACTCATTCACTTCCCTTCAAAAAAAAAAAAAAAATCTTTTATGTTTGATTTCTTTTTTTTATGATAAATAAGTGAATAAAAAAAACTATCAGGAAATATAACCTCTATTTAAAAGCATAGTATACCTTTGTTTGCTCAAAAAACTTTTACTCTTCTAAATAAGTTACGTGTTATGAAACTGAATTGCATAAGCTCACTTATTTAATAAGAGAATAATCACGTAAAAGACTATGATCTCCATTTTCTCTTGTCTCTATAGCATAGGTGCTTGAGGTAAAAATCCCAATTTTAACTGGAATTTTTCTTACTACTATTTAATGTTTGAACTATTTAATAAACCAAATGTTAATAATTCGAATAACATCATTGCATAGTCTTATAATTGTAAACAAACATATAATATTCCCTTGTGATGTATCGAAGATGCAATTTTCTTAATTTCTTTTTTAAATTTTCATTCAGCATCTGGCACATTTATTAATGTTAAACATTACGTAAAATTACAAAATGGCTATGATTTTTCAAAATATAATAATGTACAAGAAAAAAAAATGATGTCCAATAGCATTTATAAAAATTTATTCATTTATAAAATTTTTATAAATTCATTCATAACTAGAGTGTATTCACGGTAGAAAAGAGCTATTTTCGTGTACTAGTCTTATAATCCTTCAAATAACGAAAAACCATTAAACAGACACGATGTCATTAATTCTATGGTTTATTGTCGCTTATATTCAAGAAAAAGATGGAACAAAAAATAGCATGCAAAAAATTTATACTGAGTGGGAATCTTTTTTTGAATATGTAATGAATGATTGATTATCCTATTCTCCTGCTACATTAGAGTGAAACACGCTTGGTCAAATTTTGTCACTATTATAGTCTAAAATGATTAGTGTGATTAACCGATTTTCTATTATTAATCTTTTAAAAATTTATTTTGAGAGTTTTCTGTCTTATCAACTCATAAGGTGCTAGTAAATAATAAAGATAAGTTTTTTCTTTTTGTTTTCGTCTTGTCAATAACACTTAGTTAGTGTTATATTATGAAAAAATAAGAATAAGAGAGAGAACGAAGAGAGAATGCAAATGAACGTTATATGTTTTCGTTAAAACAAAAGAAAACGAAGAAAATTATGAGATTATAATGAAATATGCTGGTTTTTCTCTTTTTTTTTGTTTCAAAAATAATACGGAAATAATTACCTCTATATCAAATAAGTACTGTGACAAGTAAACGTGTTTGATTTAAAAAAGAAAAATAGTATAGAAGAAAACGTCAATCAGAGTCTTGGTGTACATAACTAGTGCTTCTTCAGTCAATATGTAGTACAAAGACAAAAATGCTCATATATATGCCTTCTTGAAACTACTTACGTTGAAAGCACTAAAATCATCAAGAGAATACCGTAAATTGCAGAACGAGCGACGCTTTTATAGGGAAAATATGCCAAAAGTAGTGTTCCTGTTCATGTACAACATACACTAATGTAATTTGAATGCTTTTTAATACCAGATGAAGTACGTTCTCGACTCGGTGTCAAACGATCGATTTCATAATTTGACTTATCTGCTTTCACATTCTCAAAAAACATGACATAATTCTTATACTTTTGTTCATTTCTTGGTGAAAAGTACTATGTTTGTCATAACGAAATATGGAAATGTTGCACAACTTAAGATAAAATGACAACACATATTATGTCGACAAGATTAAATCACTATTTATAAGCTAAATACAGAAAACATTGAACAAATATCTCTGTAAACAACTTTTTATGAGCATGAGAGCTAGAAA